AAGCTGCAACGGTCTTTCGAATTTTCCCTGGAGTCATATCCTCGAAGCTCTGTTCAATGACAACATCGACAAGGGTCTCAATGTAGAGGTCGGCCAGCTCCTTCCTCTTCTCATTTCGCCTTCTAGAATCATGTTCACATAGGTTCGGCGAAGTAAAGCCTCGCGTTCCTTGGAAAGGGGCGGCAGATTAGTCTTTTTCTTGAAATCTTCGGCGCGATCAAGCATTAGAGCACAAAACTCCCTTTCATCATCATCAGCTTCAATGTGCATACCTTTAATCTCCATGGCGAAGTTGTATTTTTCGAGCTTGTGAAAGAGAAAGATCCTTAGCTCGTCGATATCATAGAAGTCGGCACTACACCGTTCGATCACCCACCGCAGGTTGATGCAAGTATTCATCTCCATCTCCAAATCAGGACCGACATCGCCCTTCACAGTCGTTTCATCTGCCGCAGTCACCGATTCTTTTTCCATTGTTGTATCCTTGCCTTCCTGCAGTCCGGTCGCATACATCAGCTGTTCGTATTCGACTTTTTCTTTGCCAAGTCGTTCGACTTCGGCTTGATGAACTTCTATAGATTGGATCAACAATGTCTCTTTTTCCAGACGGTCACGTCGGGTTGCCTGGTGCTCCGTCTGCTCCTTCACCAATTGCTCCTCCTTTTCTTCAAGTCTCACTCAAGCGACTTGTTGCGTTGTTCGGCAAAAGCGAGAGGAGCCTTTAGCTCCTCAACTTCGGTTTGGAAAGATTTTTTCTCCTTAGACAACGCTGCAATTTCCTTTTACGCCACTTCAATCTGCGCATCCTTATCTGTTACCATCTCTTTCAACATTGCCTCGGTTTTTTCCGCTTCCTCCTGAAGAGAGGCAATAGTTCCATCTCGTAAGGCCACAGTGTTCCTATTCTCTTCCAATTGCGCAGCAATTCTTCGATGATCATCTTCGGCAGCCACCAAACTTACTAAAGACCGACCTACACAAGCCTTAGCATATCCTAACTTGTGGACACTGTTAAGAGAAGAGACACCAATCTCAGACATGGGATCCCAAGCCATCAACGGGACTCGGGCGGCATTTGTAGCATTTTCAGGCATCCCGATCCTCGACGACATGTGGGGAATTTTTACCAATTGGAAGGTGGTATACCTATCCTCTACCGCTCCCTTCGGCACATCTAAATTTCTACCCTCTCATCGTCAAAGGACAGAAAAGATTTCTCAACTAACGGAGACTTATCTGTTTTCTTCTCCTTATCACGCCGACCAGAATCATGCTTCTTCTTCGTCCTTCCCTCCTCGGCAGTGAAAGTGTCTCCAGTAGAATTTTTTACCAACTTTCTTTATTCTTCTTCGGTTGAGAGGCTTTGGGAGACTTCGGGGGTGATTGTTGTTTCTCAAGCTCTTCGACTGGCACCTCGGTACGCGCCTGTTCCGCCAAGACCACCTCATTTCTCACCGGATTCTCTTCTGGCTCAGCTTGGTTAATCGCTGCCGCGTTGATGACCGGTAGAACGTCCGAAGACGCTTCTTCTTGATGAGACTTCGGACTTTTCAAATCGATCGCTGACATCACACCATCTCCGACCTCGGCAGGCTTTCGCCTCGCAGTTCTTTTCACCAAGGCCCTAACCAAATCTCTCCTCATGATGTCGGTTAACCTTAATTCTCAACTCTTACCAAACTTTGAATTAAGGTCCTTATTCGGGAAGTGACGCCTGAACTCTTTTGCGTCCTTAACGGTTCGGTAACCAGAAAATCCAAGCAACGGGTAATATACTGTGCAACCAAAAGACTCACAAAGTCAGCCGAAGTATTTGCAAAAATTCCTAAGTTCAAATCATAAGTGAAAATTTACCCTACTCACCTGGAGCAGACTCAAAAGTCGAAACTCCAGTGGACAAACCAGCAGCTTCGAGTTTTGAATCAACTACTAATCTTTTGTAGTTGTGCAGTTCTTCATCCACATCAAAAAGCTCGAGCTACCGACCACCAAATTCTGAACTAAGCTTCGATTCTTTTGGCTTCGGTCCCTTCTACAAATACGAAAAGTTCCAACCTGTTAGTACACAAAACAACCCAGCATTAGAAAAATGCTCAAAATATAATACAATGAACTTACTATTTCCAGAATGAATTTACATGGGAATTGTCATCCCATCAATCCGAGGTTCATGAAAGAAACTTTCCGACTGCCATTCCCCTCCGACCCACAGCCATTCCTCCTGGAAACCATGGAGGGTCTCTGGGATGTCAGTGATCAATTCCTCAACTTTAAGACCGTGTTGAGGCTTTGCCCCGGCGAAAAAGCAGCACGAGGTTTCTCCGACTCTCCGTTTGGGACTCCTCTTAAAAGCATAAATGCTCCTAATATCTTCGCATGACGGGAGGTCCCAACCTTTTTCATTCAAGAAGACCATTAATCCGATGATCTTCTTCCAGCTATTCGGTGTTATCTGACACAAAGGCAACCCCCATCTGCGGAGGTACTCTGTAATCAAATTTGGTAACGAAAATCGCAATCCCGATCTCAAGCTCTCGGCGAATATGCCCACACATCCTGGAGGTGGACACGTTATCCTCTCCCCCGGGTAGGGCGCAAAAATCTTCACCGACGCCTGAATCCGAATTTTTTCCCGCAACATGACTACATCGGCGTCCGTCAAAATGCTAGGCTCACCCCAAAAGTTAACATCCGACTCCGGCCACCTTCTCACCAGCCGTCTCCAATGATCTTCTAATACCAGGGCATCTTCTTCAACTTGATTGTCACCTTCTTCGTCGTTTGGCTTAATATTCAGGTGCCTCACCAACATCGGATCCCACCGATAATATTCGAAGGCTAATTCGACCAACTCCGAGTCATGATATACGTCGAGCGGAACCCAATCTGTACTAGATGAACTTGCAACGGCCTTACCCTTTGACGCCATTCGACCAAAATAAGATAAAAAAATAAACAAAAATAGCAGAAATCGAAAGGTGTCGCTTACCAAAAAATTCAAAGATACCCACAGAAATGAAATCACACGCGAGAATAACTCACAAGTGCTCAATAGATCGACAACAAGAAAGAAGACCAGGGAAATTCGAAGATAAAGTAAAAGCAGAAAAGTCCGATTACATTCTTCTGAAGCTTATTTATAACCCCTAAATTTCGACCGTTAGGGTTCAACATTGGGGGCGCGTGCAACCGATGTGATTTGTCATTTTAATCGACACGACCGTTCTTCTGTCAAAACCTATACTGCACGTGTCAGCCTATTAATATGGCCGTTATTCTCTTTCATTACGGCGCAACCTTTCGCTACACATGACATTAAACACTATCTGTTATGTCATTTCTGCAATTAAAGCTTGTATGTCCATTCAACCCAAAAATTTCACGAAGTGTCCTCACTTCGGTCACTTCAGATTATAAGGGCACCTCGGAATAGCCACGTTCGACTCACAGTATCTACCAGCTCGGAGTTTCCAATTATTTTTTACGGTGTCAGCGACCATCACTAGCGTATGCCCGCTAACACCGGGGGCCTCTCTGTTGTCATCCGACCTGCTAATCCGTATTATTCTTGAAAAACCACATGTTAAGTGAGTCGTTACTGATGGTAGCCACTCTTCTCACCCTGGTTCAGATTTTAATCAAACTCCGGTTCAACCCAAAGAAAACTGACCTGCCCGCTGAAAACCGAGGTTACCACAAACCGAGGTCACCACAAACCGAGGTCACCACAATCGGAGCAGGTGACAAGGCGCTTACACGAAATGTTTCAACACCACAAGAAACCTCATCATTCAGCGGGTCCCACTCATATGGCCGCCCATCCAAAAAGCCACTTTGCATAAAGCGACCGTACACACCTCGAGATACGGGCCCAAAAAGATACTATAAATAGAAGATTCTTATTCTTGTACAGGGATCGAACTCTTAACATCTACGTATATTCAAAAAAAAGCCCAACACCTTTCACCTCGGTTCACCTCGGACCGGGGCCATTGTTCTTGTTGCGATGCATGCTTTACGTACATTTCAATTAAGACACCTTGCTAATCTCATATAAAATCGTTGTTAATAATCATACA